CTACTGCTGCTGCTGATAAGTGAAGAGGTTGAGGAGTTCACTTTTGTTAAGACGCGTACTTTGGATGAATGGGGTCAATTGAGCATGGAAAACGCTAAAGTCGAGTAGTTAATAGAATAGGTTGTGTTTTGCAATTGCGAAGCCCAGAATGCCCTTCTGCGGCTAAACCGAATGGTGCATTTGGCCCAAGTTATTATTTAGGTGCGGGAGGCATTTGGGCCATTGCTAGTTTGTTTGATCAATGCGAGTGAAATGAATTGTGTTGTTTCTGTTTAGTTGCCGATATGTATTCCAATTCTGTTCCTTGTGTGTGACCTCTTCATCCTTGCGCTGACAATCTACCAGCAGCCGCGGGAGTCTCTTTCGAATGTAATCTTGATGTTGGCGGCCATCCCAATTTACTGGATTGGCGTGTCGTGGGAGAGGAAACCGAAGAAGATTGAGGAATTCCTTCGTGAGTGTTGATTTCCTGGTGTCTGGTGTTTGATGAGACACGAGCCGCAAGAATGCCTGACGTCAACTCCCATGGTGCATGTAGTGTCTGTGTTCCGTTGTTAATGGTTGTGCCCCGATACTGTGTACGTTGGTGCCTGCCTCAAGTTTGAGCCTGATGCTAGACTGTTGCTGCTTAAACGCCGTGTGGTTGGGGCATTTGAGTGGTACGTGTAAAGCAGTGTGAGATGGCCTGAAACCACGAATTTGAGTAATCAAGATACACACACACCCACACAAGTGGTTCTCGCTTCGACCTGACCACAGGGACGCAGAATGCCCGATGGCGTTTCCTCTCACTTTGTGTATCACAATGGTAATGGGCCACGTGGGAAGTAGTGATATTAAGAGGAGGAGAGGTTCAAGGTTGGTGTGCTGTTGGCATGTAAGAGAAGTTTGTTAGGAGAGCTGGTCTCCAATTGGAAGTACCAGGTTTTTCCTAAATTGCTTGACAAAGGACCAGTAGCATGCCATAATATGGCGTGTCATTGTAATTCATCGCGTGGTGTGTTTGCGTGACACAATGGCTTGCAACAGGGGATGTTAGTCTGCAAAACAGGCACGCTGACATTGCACATCATATTCGGGAGTGAAATCGTCCAATTGAGATGTCACCAGGCACCTTCAAATTGTGGTGTGTGGAACAGAACCTTGACTGTCTAGGTGGTGAATTTTGCGTGATGCATGGCGTGCGCCAGTGTCTCTTTGAGTTACTGGAAGAGGCTATTGGGGCACTGGTTTATAGTGTGTTCATTTTCAGGGTAACATGAAAATGCGACAGTGGGATGTGTGTTATAAAAGATGGGTGTGCGTTATTTCATAAGGTACTTTGGTACAACTGGCAATGGCTTCGTAGGACTGTAAACTCACTGCATGGAGTGAATGCTACTGTTGTGGCGAGTAGTCGATTGTCCTTGTGAAGTTGTTAATTGAAGTGGGTCAGGCAGTGGAGTGGATTTGCAATCACAATGAGTGTGCATTGAGTAGTGTCGTTTCGAGATTGGTTCATTCTTGCTTCCTGTGATTGCCGTGACTGAATCGGTTCGCAGGCACCTGAAGTGGGCGTGTGCCAAGACCTAAAAGTGCTTTCCTTTTTTGCAGACAAGGGGACTGTTTGCCTGCAGAAGGTGTTTGCCTGCGTACCGGTAGAGAACGGATCCGAGTTGGACTTGACGGCAGCTCCCTTGACGAGCAAAGAGAATCACGACAACAAGCCCTAAAACGTCAGCCTCCGGTTTCGCGCCACAACCACAATGAAGCCACACTTGTGAAAATCGAGACAATTGTATCGCTTGTGGCTTAGCCCGATGCTAGATCACTGTTTTGTATATGTTCTTGATGTCAAATTCCGTGAGTTGGCGCTGGATCGGTTGCTCTTGTGACCGTTGCTCTTGTAACCGTTACACGGGTTGTGTGTTTTTGTAAAAAAAGTAGCTGTTTTGGAATGTTTGCGACCTTGTGTGCATGTGAAAAGTCAGTGGTTTTTGGAAACCCTTAGAAAGCGACGTGGAATTAGCTGGCGCCTCGTCGAAACCTCCCCCTACTTAAGATGTACATCCAAAGGCTCAGACCATAAATGCCACACGAAAACTATTCCCGCACGCTTTGTCAAGGTGATGGCATCATGCCGGTTTGGTGTGTTAGCATGTTTACTGTGGATGGAAAGAGGGCACCACGTTAGGATGTGTTCAGCCAATGACGCGCCGAGTGGGAATGGAACAAGCAGCCATGGGTACTAATTGGGAACTTGGATGTAGAGGGGAATAGAAAGGGGACCGTGTAAGTGCTCGTAATGAGGCATTAACTGTGCGGATGTTTGGTGATGGCTTGTGGAACGACGTTAAGACAGTGCGGTCTACCGATTAATCTCAGAGCCGTGGCAAGTTGGGTTGCAACTAAAAAGGGAGCTTTTAGCAGAGATTGCGCTACGCTGCCCTGAATGCGGACGTTTTGCAATGGCAAGTCTGTGCGACCTGGATGCTTTGGTGACTAGACTGTTTAGGAGGCTGTGATGCGACTGTTGTTGAATTAAATTGAACGCAGGCAATTATTGGCGGGCACATTTAATCGCAATTTCCGTTCAATGTTACACCTCAGAAGTGGGACCTCCGGTAGATGGAGTTGCCTAGTGCATTAACTTCTTTCATGTGATTGGATGTTTGCAGTCAGTTAGGTGGTGGTGTTTTGGTTAGGCGATCTGGTGAAAAACTCATGTCACCGTGGCTTGACGTCGTATGTTTTTCACACCTCACAAAGACACTGGTCTTCGGGGTCATCATGTGTATATGGGTTTCACACGACATCACCAGCACATTTATGCAGCAAATAGTCTGTTGTGAATCGCCTTATTTCACTCTCGTTTTCCAGGCCGTTCTATTCCCCGACAAATTGTCCCTTTTCGTTGCATACCATCACCCACGGGGCCAGCCTCAACTCACACCAGATTAGCGCAATGTTTCAACTTGCATTATCATTACGCGTGACAACATTCACCTAGACCTCGATGTTGGCACGTCTATGACCCATGCTGTTTCACGCAGCTGAGCTATAGATGCCTACACGCAAACGCCTCACACAGCAACTTGGATGAGCTCAGAAGTAAACAGTTGTGTTCACGTCCTCTCCGGTCGTCTTAATCATCGTGGGTAGCATGGTGGCGTAATCGGGCCAGATTTAGCTCAGTGGCCCCAATGTAATTTGAAAGCACATTTTGTTCCCCCAACAAGTCTTTGCAACGTCTGATTAGAAGACATTTGACGCGACAGTAACCTATTCAACCACACATCCACAAGGTATTTGCTCACTCTGACCAGGCGGCGTGGTCATTCCTGGCGTCGTATTGATATGTGTTTATTTCGTGCACAATTATTGTGACGCGTTCCTTCAAGGCGTTCAATGGAAAGGATTTAGGCCAAAGGTTGAGGGTGACTGGAAATGAGTAATGTATTGGGGCAAAACACATGAAGTGAACAAGGTTGAGAGCTACCGGGAACTTCGAGGCCAAGAACAGAGCACATCAAAATGGATAGACGCACAAAAATGACCAAATTTAAGGTGCTGAAAGTGATGGATACAATGGAGGAGCTTAAAGCAGTTTAAAAGGGCTGGTTGTGAATCGCGTTTATTCAGTCCCTTAATCCGATTGCTTCGCCTCCGACACAGGGCTCCCCTTTTTCGCGGCATGGCGCGACCGCGCAAATCCTCAACTCCCCCTTTAATCACAGGAATATTTAACTTGGATTCACCTCACACCTAGGTCTCGATGTTAGCGCAATTATGACTTACGCATCCGAGCTATGAATGCACACGCACAAATAATACATACCACCGCGGCTTCGTCAAGTTCTCGAATAAACGAATGACTCCCTGTCCTTTCACCGAATTCATCTCTGTTAGGTAATTTATGACATATGGCGCCTCAACGGGCTTCGGTTAGTATCCATGACTGACACCCCAAAGGTGCGAAACAAGTCATCTTTCTCGGTCGGCTTTCTACTAATGCTGCCAATGCTGCAGGATGAGATGAGACAAAGAGCTAATCTGCTTTAATTGACATTCGCATTTCCATGCTGCGACACTTAAGACAGGAACTCCTATCGAATGCTGCCAACGGTTTCGTGAGAATCACGATGACGCTACCTATTGATGTACTCGCACCGTGGTACCTGGTGTAGTGCGCCTAGAGAAGCAGAAGCAAGGCCATTTATCAGGATGTGTGACGCAGGTGTGCAAGCCGAAGAGATATAATCTGGCTGGGCGGTCAGCACATCTCGCGGTGGCCAAGGCACGACAAGAAGGAGTCCGAGTCTGTGAGAGGTAGCCGAATGCCTTTCTCGATGTTCGTAATGTGAATTGGGTGGATAAGAGGGAGGTGATTGTGGCGCGATAACCCACAGCATGCACTTGATCTCGTGTAATGCCTTTAAGCTGATTCTATTAGTAGGGAGGTAGGCCGCCTTCATGTTGCGGTGAATTAAGAACGCAAATGATGCTTCTTCGCCCCGGTGGTTTCAAAGTTGGTCGGGCTCGATTTCAACTGAGATGAAAGTAGACGCCTAGAGTGACCGACTCAATGGCTGACCATATCAAAATGATTCAATTATGTTTGAATGCGACTGAATGGAGTAAAGAGCAATAGTATCGGTTTCTCATTGAACTTGGAGGATAATGACCAAAGAAGTGTTGCATTTGGCGCATAACCAAAACCACACACTGAGGTAACCACACACCAGATCCTCAGTCTGACGTAAGGTAAGGCAAGACCTCTCGCAAGGAATGCTGTATCCCCAACAGGAGGGCCGATTACTCCGATCACCTGGACCGAATTTCGCAAGCACTGTAGAGTTGCGCTCTGGCACCGGAGTGTACAGGCAACGTAGGTAAGTAAGTCAGTAATGATGGGATAGAAATGGTTGCTTGAGTAAGCGAAGGTAATCATCCTGTTGCATAGCGACCAGAACACTTCTTCAGTGGTTGACGGAATGTGGACCAAGCCTGAACTAGGTCAAATTCTGCCACAATCAAGAGGAAGTCGGATGCGCAGATACACGGAACACTGATGTAGGAGTTATGCAGGAGTGCGTGCGCTATCGCCTTAGCAGCTATTATTCATATGGAAAACACAATGCGGAGACAGATGGAGAATAGCCATTTTTGAATAGTGTTAATCGATTGCATTGTCACTCGTGTCCCATTCAGCTGAATCTGTCATGTCGAATCTCATAAATATCACGTTCGTTGACACCACCCCGTTGACTGACGTCAATTAAGCGCGACCATGTTCGTGCAACCGTCATTTGTTGGCTATGCTCACTCGAAGACCGACCCCAATGTGACACTTGTGGCTAACCTTTGGTTTAACTTGGCTGAAAGGAGTGAACAGTGGTGAGTGAGTTTGCACCTACA